TCCGTAGTTGTGAGCATTGGGAGGTTCATGGATTGCGCTGCTTGTTCCATCTCGCTTCAAACATCTTCAAACCCATTCGTCGTACCCTGTTCCGTTGGCCCAGGCACGGTGCTGTTGTGCCTGTTGGCCAGCTTGGTCGCATAGATCCTTGGTCAGCTTGCGCGCAGACCCTTCCAAAGAAATCACCCGGATTTTTGCTACTAGTAACAAGGACGCTAGTAGCAGCTCCTGGCCTTACTACTAGTAACAAGGACGCTCTTAGTAGCTCCAGGCCTTACTACTAGGAACAAGAACGCTACTAGTAACAAAGGGCATCGCTACGTTCGTAACAAGGACGCACCTTCTGCAGAGCCCACTGGCCCCAGGCCCCCACCTGTGAGGGCAATTTTTCTTGCGAAATCCTAGGTGGCAGCTTCTGTCCTTCAACATGAATTCTTCTATATCAAAAGTAGCTCAATCCGGGGGGGCTAGAATCACTGGGATAAACACATACTTTTGAAGACCCTTTCTTCACACCAAGCCACACGGTGTTCAGCACCAGCAGCACCATCTTCTCTCCAATCTCCTCCCAGTAAAAGCCAAACCTGCAGCGGTCCAAGGAACATGGTGCACAACAAAGGGAAAATCATAGAATACAAACACTTGATAGGCCCGCTAGGTTTCAACAAACACATACTTTGGTGATAAACATAGACCTTTACATGGACACTTACATGCGATCTGCTGTTTTCTCCATGCAGTTCCTCTTCCTTCGACCATGCACCAAAAAACGCCTCAACAGCACAAAAACCTTCCTGCATCTCAAAGTCGCCTCCTCAGAGTACTGAAGGCATTCTCTGAAAGGTCGCAACTCCTGCGGAGCGGAGCGGAGCTCGCGGCCCCGTCCTGGGGCCCCCTCCTGGGGCCCCCGCTCTGGTCACGGTGGGGCAGGTCTTCGGTCCCTGCACCGGACCGTGTCCAGGGTGGTTTTGGCAATGACACAGCTGCGAAGGACCGGTCGAAATCATGAAAATCCGCATGACTTGCGGAAGGAACACCATACAGCTGTCATGAACACTGAACGAGCTGCTTGTGCGGAGTGGTTCCTCATGCCAAAGAATTGCATTGGCACATCAAGACATGGTGTTGTTTTTATTATTGGCATTGTCCTTTAAGGTAGGTCAAAAAAGGTCTTGTCCCTTCCCTGTGTCTTTGTAGAAAAAACCTTCTTCCAACGCCTTTTTCGTGTGCTGTCATGTTTCGATCATGCGCATCCTCGAATCCCCAACATCCACCGGATCCGCCTCCGGACCTCCTGGGCCACCTCGGTGTCAGAGCCGACCCGAGGGACCCGAGCGGAGAGCCGGACGTCCGGAGCGGGCCACAGAGACCTGTTTTCCACGTCTGGAGCGTGTGTTCAACAACATGTGTGTTTTGGAACGCCAAATGTTTGCCCGTTTTTCCTAAATGATGTGAGAGGAACAAGGGAAAAGCTAACGGCCAAAGCCAAGATCATTCATTTCTCTTTCTGGAGTATAGCTTCATGACCAACCAGCCAAGGAAGAACGCAACCCCTTTCATGAGCAGTGGGAACATGTCCGCTTTTGGCTCCAAGTCAAGTTTCTTCGGAGAGTCATAGTTTCTCGGCTTAGTTTTTCCGCTTTGTTGATTTAAAGTATGATGTACACTGTTCAAGTACACATAATACACGCGTTGCCAAAGAAACATATCAACGTTCAACAGTTACCGACGGAGTCTTGCCTTTATGGCCTTAGCCTTCGGTATTGTGTGGAATTGCGTGCATCGCTAGCTTTAGCTATGGGGAAGGGGTTGGGAACAGAATTGCATGACTGGCGAGGTGAGAGATCCAAAAAGGTGGAAGAAAAGATCCAAAACACATGCCATCTCGTCCTACTTGGATGTGTTTTGCCAAGTCTGGGAGGGAAAAAAGGGTCTCGGGTATGAAGTGGTACGCAAAAGCACGAAAAAGAAACCCAAAACCTTTGAAAGGAGCCGAGCCCTTTGCCTTTTCATCGATAGCGCATCGTGGGGTGATGATGAGTAAGAGAAGGAAATGGTAGGAAATTGGGTGGGAGAGTGTACGATCAATGTAAGAGATCGACATGGATGGTGCTTGGTTTGGACTCTCTTCAAAGTGTACATTTTTCAGCGGGTTGAATGGAGGAATGTAAGACATAGAAAAATACATACAACGCGGTACAATCTCATAGAATAGGATCCAATTCAATCAAATGCGATACAGTACCAATGGTATAAACCACAATATATATATATATAAGATACAATGCAGTGGATTAATAAAAGAAGTGTATATATATAGAGGAAATAGCAAACGGCAAATTGCAGGCATTGTTGAAAAAAGAAGTTGGAGCGCCTGAAAACTGTGCAATTTCAAGGGGATACACCAATTAAGGACTTACATGGACGAATCCAATATGATAGAACCGAATCCAACTCATCTAGCTGAATATGTCTTAGACGGGATCGAGACGGCCATGTTTTCCCCATGCTGTCTCAACACATCTGATGGCGGTGATCGAAGGGAACTGAATGCGTCTTCCAGTCGGAGTTCCTGGCAAACCCAAAACGCATATCGCATCTTCACCATGTTCTTAAAACCCAAGTTCGGTACTGTAGAACAGGAAGTCCTAGCAACACCTCCGGGAACATCCAAGTTGCCAATGGCACAGACCTGTTTGAGTATGCTGCGCTGGTGAATTCAAGGTGGTCAATGTGAAGCCATTTCTCGGCCCCATTTCCTCCCACTTCCATGGTGCGGCACAGGCCACGGCTTCATAGAAGCCTTCTTGCTCGAAGTCCACGGTGTAGCCGGGAAAAATGTCCTTAGCGCTTTGGGGGGGACCGGTCGAACAGCTCCGTTTTCAAAGTAGGTTTTGGTTGGGTATCTCCCATTCCGTGGATGATCATGGTTAGTAAAGACTTTTGATAGAAATATGTATGTAGTGATAATCCTTCACGGACTTACCGACTGACTGTTACAGGTAATGGGCCACATTTTAGGTCCATAGGTATTGGATTGAGGGTGCCTGTTGCTGATCCGGTCAAGGTTTGCCAGCAGAAGGGAGCCAGCTCCAGCTACGTGGTATGTGTGTGTGTGTGTGTCTGTCTGGCTTCTGACGTAAAATCCTCGAAACCACAGGGTCATGTCTGGAAATTGCACCAGGTGGATATCTGCCTTTGGACTCCATATCTAAGAAAGAAAGAAAGAATGAATGAATGAATTGAATGAATTGAATGACGGAAGGTCTCAAGACAAAAAAAGAACGAACCTATACCAAAACCAATAAAATCAACACAGCAAGTATTGACCTCTTCGTTTCGCCCTGGACGACCTCTTCCACGACGCCACGACACATTGTTCCCTACGGCCACCAGACATCGCCGTCCACTGGCAGCAGAGATCCAGCTCCTCGGCCGGGCCGGGCCGGTGAAGCCCCGGGCTGAAGAGCCGGGAAACCAGGAGCCAAGAAGCGACTCGAACGGAGCCGTTAGGGCATCACGACTTCTCGAACGTCACACTAGGGGCATTACGACTCGAAGGTAGTAGCATTCTCACTACGAAGGTGTCGCAACATTCAAGGATGAGGCTAGTTCAGCCTCTTTCGACGACATTTCTTGAACACCATACTCTGCTGCAGAGTATAAACTTGACATGGAACCCCAAGTGATCACATCGGGTTGGTATTCGGACCAAAAAAAACAAAAGGATCGAAACCCACCGGTCCATTCGGACGGGTTCCCTGGGATCGTGCTTTCGCTTGCGGGTCGACCCCCCGAAAGGAATCCACGCCGTCCACCCGGTCCGCACCCCGGAGAGGTGCCAGTTCTCTCCGTTCTCCGTGGCCAGGTCTGCACCAAGCCCAAAGCCGACCCACCGAGGAGGACCGAGACCGCCAGGACCGTCGACCTTCGACGCCGAGACGCAGCGTCTTCTTGAAGATGCGATGACCTCACAGCGGAAGGAGGTGGCCGGGCGGGCGGACACCGGGGGTTTCCGGGGGGTTCGGACACAGCGAGACCGGGGTTCCCGGAGGGTTCCCGGAGGGTCAGAGTCGAGTCCAAATGAAACATCTCACAACTCTTGGAAGAAAGAAGGCCACCGGTGGGAAAAGGGGGTTGAGTAACTTCTTCGTGAGCTGTTAAAGAAATAGGGTTGATTGTTTGAGTCACTTGCAAAATACTTTTGAAAGGAGTGGTCTTCAACTGACTCACTGACTCCCTTTCACTGGACTGAGTCTGCCCACAAATGCTCGAAAGAATCAGTGATGCAACTGATCATTCGGAGTCTACCCTATTGACAACCAACCTCAAGATCGGAGTAGTTCATAAAGAAAACCCTGCCGGTCGTGCCATCACCAAGTTGCACAATTCCTTCTTTAAAGAAAACGTAAACGATCACCTATCCACGATGATGCTTAACCAGCCCGCCACAGAAGTCAAGGCCGACTCCCCGACCCGACTGCCATGTTCTAGACAGCCAGGCACACGTTGACCCACCAAGAAGAACTCATGTTTGTTGATTTCCATGACGTCACTCCATCCACTCCATACCATCCACTCCATGCCATCCCTGTGCCATCAAGACACCCCATTCATTCTCCTTTTCCTTGCTGTACAACGGAGCCTTAAACTTCGAAGGGCTTTGGCCCACATGGTGGTCCACCAGATCTCCCAGCACCAGCCACAGCTCCGGCTCCTGAAGGTTAACTGTTCTGAAGCACGAACAGCGGGGTGTACCGATGGCTGTCGGTACACCCCACGACCCCGCTGGCCCGTGGGGGCCGTGTGTGTCCCGTCCATCAATGAGGTTTCCAGGCCATTGCTGAAGGTCTCTGAAGACTTTCTGACCAACATGGGGTACCAGCCAAAAGCACCGAAGCGGCCGAGACAGCCTTTTTCTACCCTTGGCTTTCTTCTTCCTTCGCTCCGCCAGTCCGCGGCGGTCGGAAACAGCGCTGTCCGCGGGCGGTGCGTTGGGTTCGGAACAGGGAAAACACACGGACAACAGGCTGAGCATCAGACGAACTGGGAGGAGGGCGATTCATCGGTTGTAGATGAACCGGGAAGAAGGAGACCCTGGCCGTGTAGGCTTCTCCCAATGACCTTGGGTTGAGACATATGGCTGGTGTCGGCTTGTGGTTCTTATCAAAGGGAGTCAAGAATGAACCACACAAGATTTCACAAGAGACTCCCTTTGATAACAACCAGATGGTCTTTTGAGATGGCTGGTGTCGGCTTGATGGGTTTTCACTGGAATCTCAAATGCAAAAGACGACCGCTTCACTCTCCTGCGCTTTCGCCGCTTCCAAAGATAGGTCGATCAACCTGTGCTTCGCTCGGAGATCGTAAAGCAAGGGGCGAAAAAGCCCAGTGCGACATGCGTCATGGAGAAGATACAGTACCGGGGTTTCCTTGAAGAAACTGACCTAAACATTATCTATATATAGCCGTTTATGGCTTACAAAGAGTCAAACATTGAGAAGAAAAAATGCCAAAACACGGTTTGGGCGTATCAAACATTCAGCTTTGCCAAGTTTGGGTGGTTTTTTGGGCCAAAGCATACTCGGCCCAAGGCTGGCGCCATCATGGCAGCAGGACACAGGTTCTGACTTTTCGTTGCTGTAGTCCACAACGCCAAAAGCCGCCAAAAGGAGGCCGTCTCCTGCTGGTGTGTTTTCGTTCACACCACCCGTTGGCCCGAGGCAGATCCTTTGGCAGAATGCGTTTGGCCACCCTGGCCACCCTGGCACCACCCTGGCCACCTGTTCGGGTGCCCAAATCACCCGTCCGATCCGCCTCTTGGGCGAATTGCATCCATGCTGGCCATAAGGTGCCGCTGGCACTTGGCACGACCTGACGGAACGGACCTTGGCGATAGGTGATATACTTTCAGTTAAAGAGCATACTTTCAGTACTGGAGTTGGACATATCAAAACACTCCATATATGGTAAACAACCGTAAACAACCTGGTTTTACTTGTACTTTGCACCTGTATCTCTAGCTATGCGGCAGCACTCGCAGGTTTGAAGGTGTTGGTGTTCCCTTTTGTTTTTCACAGCCAGCGGCCAAAAAGCGAGGATCATGGGCACGGGCACAGGTCACACGTCCTAGCCAGTCTTCGCAATGTGTTCTTTCTCCAAAAAAATGATGATCGAACACCCTTTTCACATTCGGCAGTAGATGCACCAACACGAAGCAAGCAAACCCGATTCGTCACTTGTTCGAAACAAGAACCGATTCATCACAGCGGCCACGTAGGTCTTCTCCACAGATGTGGCGAACGGCGGACTCCCTGCCTGGACTCTGGACTGATTGTTCTGCACCTGCATTTCGGGCCCAAAGTCCTTTTGTATCTGGGATGAAAATGTAGATCGGTGATCACCAGCATCTTCAAGTCTCCTCGTGGAGACGTCAAGATGAAATGAACGACAGGGATGAACATGGAAGAGCTGGTATAGTGGTCCCGAATAGATAGAAACGGTGTCCAATAAATACGTTTTGAACGGGCTTTGCTTTTCTATTTATTTGGGGGTCGAAATAAAAATATGGCAGAGCTGGTACATGGAAAGCCCTCGATATGGCACTGATCTGAAAAGCTTCCACTTCCACTTCTGAGGATGCGGACGCATCCTACTCGCCCATAGGAACAGCACTTCTCCATGTTCAGCGGGAAGGAGGCCGTCTTCGCACAGTTTTCTTGTTCAGTGTACTTTCGTGTTGTCCTTTTGCCCGGTTTGTGTTGCGGGGATAGAGACCCCCTCTTCAAGCCACATGCCCATTTCGCATCCTTTCCTGCTTATTCCCTTCTCCACAAAGGCCCGTCCTGGTGGCTTTGTAGAAGTGCTGGTGGTCGTGCTAGCTGTGCTCTCAGAGCTGGTGCTGGTAGTGTCAGCTGTGCTCTCAGAAGCATCATGAGCAGTGGTAGTGGTCTCAGTGGTCTGGGTAGTCTTGGTAATGGTTTTGGTCGTGGTCTTGGTTGTAGTTCTGTCAGTCTCCTGAGCAGCGTTTCAAATGCAGTCTGCGCAAAACATCCGCACTTCATGACCCTAGGACCTTTGTGGCAACAAAGGCTGAATTTGGATCTGTACGGTACAATACAAAACAAAACAAAAGGCATTCTTCTAGTCTTGTTGAGATGATTCTTCTTGTTCTGTATGGTACTAGAAGAATCACCTCAAAACAAGATTGGACGGCAGGACGGATCTAGATCTCTCTCTCTCTCTTCCTGATCACGTATCACGTCTCCTCCTTCTCCGTGCTGTTCTCCGGCGAGTCTTTCTCCGGCGAGTCTGGGTCCTCCAAAAACGACATCCACCATGAGAGCCATTTGTTTGTTTACAGACAAGTTTGGACCTACGAAGTGAGGATGTGAACTGAGGATCCTTGACCTTCTTTAAAATTAGAATATCACTTTGAACATCTTCCGTCTTCCTCCGGCGTCGCCGGTCTTTTCTCCATGCACGCAAAAACGGTCCGGCACGCCGGTGTCCGGCCAAAGGCAAGTCCGTCCGACCATCCTAAAGCGCTCAAATCTTCCAACCGGATCTTTGGCAGAACTTCCAAAGACTCATTTTACCCCACCGGTAGCCATGATCCACCACTTGTTAGGGGTAGTCTATTAGTCAGGGCTTTATGATCTCCTTTTTCTGGGCAAGCCAACATCGATGTCCCAGCATCGCTTCATCCCAACCTCGCCACCTTTCCTCTTTACAGCACTCCTTAAAACCCAAAAAAAAAATCGAACGTTCCACGCATTTCACCCAATCCGATCCTCCGGCCCCGGCTCCTTCGAGCGAACAAAAACCAAATCCACGGGCGGCGCTCCGGGCGGTGCTCCTCTTCCGTGTGATTCTCGTGGATCTGATCCTCCGTGCGATTCTCCACCTCCGCCGCTTCCAGCTCCACGTCCGGCTGTGAGACCACCATGGCGACTCCGGTCCGGTGGTGTCACCGCAAGGCCACCGCAAGGGCAGGGGGACTGGGTGGGTGGGTTGGCAAGGGCTGAGGGGGGGGGAGTGGGAATTCCCAATGGTCTTGGAGGAGTTGCCTTATCTTCTCTTCATTGCCAAGGGTTGAAAGAAAGAAGGCATCTGAAGGCTATTTCTGCTTTGGTTTTGGGTGACAAATGACGTGTTCATGAGCCATTGCCTAAGTCCGCGAATTAAGATTGATGCAAAGTGTTCGCATTTCCAAGTCGAATTCGTTCGTCTCCATTGGAATCGTCAAGTTCAGATCGCGCCTGGGCGCGCTGCCTGAGAGCACCCCCTCTTGAGGCCAGTGCATGTCCGACGGATCAAAGGTTCAAGGGTCGAAAGAAAGACCGCCGAGCCGAGTGCATCTACAAGCCCAAAGTGATGGGGAAGACCACCGATGTCTCTCAAAGCAACGGGTTTTGCAGGAAGCCTCTCACTGAATCTTGTCCTTTGAACACATGTTCCTGCGGGCTCCTACTACCCAAATCACATCTGCTACTTCTTCAACACATTGCTTCGCCTTGAATATCCACGAAGCGAAAGGCCACACTGTTTGATTACAACTTGCTACTGATCAACAAACATTTGTGAAGTGCAGAGTGCCTTTACACGTTGACAGTTCAGCTTCGCAGTTCCGTGAGAACACTTGTTATGACATGATTGAACAAAGTGCTAGTCCATGAATATATTCACACATATTAAATGGGTAAATGTATCAGTAGCACCCCACGAGGATACGGGTTGGCAATTGGTGTGGGAAGCAGCAACTTGTGCTGTCGGAGCTTGTCTGTCTCGGTATGTCTGTCTCAGTCTGTCCGTTTCGGGTCTGTCAGTTGTGCGTCTCGGTCTGGCAGGACACACCGAAACACACCCACCATGTCACGATGTCAACAATGCAGTCTTTCCCCGGCTGCATAGCCAGCATCGCGAACGTTTACCTCCGACGCCATTTGCACAATCATACACACGATATCAATTGTTATCAATGTTCAATTATATAACCTCAAAACCACAGCATTCTAGAGCAAGAAAGACCCCCCTCTAAGCTAACGCTTAAGCTGGTTATCTAGCAGCTTCCGGTTTCTTGCCGGTTTGTTGATTGCCTCGAAGCTTACACAACGCCTCAGCACCTTCAGTGCGGGCAGACTATAACCATCTCTTTGACCCACCTCATGATCGACCTATACTCCCCGGTCCGGTGGAAGCAGTCCGGTCGCTCTTTCTTTGCATCGGAGGTCATCCGAAGGTGGCCAAGAGGTCATCCTCCGAAGGTGGCCTAGGAGAAACCGGTCCCCACAACGGGCAGAGCGGAGGGGACGGGCCAATACCGGCAAGAGTCTTGTCTGGAGGATGAAGGAGGTGTTTTTGGTTTGAAATTGTCATGTTATGGTCCATCTTTTGACAGTAACCACATGCTGTTGCTTGAGAGAAAATGAGTTGTGCATAGTCACAACGAAAGTCTTCTGCAGGAATCAGGAATCTGGCGACAATGAAGGAAGTGGTGGTGCTTCAATAGACAAGATGCTGATGCGAAAAACGTCAACCAGTCGATCAAAAAGATCCAAAATAAGTGCGACTCTATTTCAACAAGTCCCACGTAACCTGGTAGGTTGACCAAACATCAGATTAGTATCATCCACTATTCCATCCACGTAACATCTTCCACCAAGACTCTGACATGAGAATATCCACCTAACGACAACCACCACCCCACCTTTGACCCAAGGAGATTCACATGGTCCAACGCTTTGGGCGTCAATCTCTGACTCATGGGCATCACCGCGTCATGGGCACCCCGAACGGTGGGACTCGAAATGACTTGGCTCAGACGCGACCCCTACACAGCCCGACTGGTCCCGAACCAAACCCTAGGGATTGGTGAGAAGGTCCGGACCCCCTGTCCATGAGGATTCGGGTCCGGCCCCTACTGAACGCAGGGTCGCGTGGGTCGCGTCTGGGTGGCCCGGTTCCCCCCTACGCACCTGCCGACCGCGGAGCTGCTGTAGCCGCTGGCCGCCGCGCCGGCGCCTGTTCCGATGCGGTTCCGGTTGGTTCGTGGGTCACTGCGACAAGATAGCCAACAAACACTCGAATTAGGTGAAGGATGAACAAGTCTAGAGTCTAGACTTAGAGATGTCCAAGTCCTTCTTGGACATCTGGGTCCAGAGTCTGGGCCATTTTTTCGCATCTCCGTTCTGTGCCCATCCTGAAAACACCAGGCCGGTGTCCGTGTCGCCGTCGCTGATGCCCAGTAAGCCGGTCTTTGGGAACCAACGAAACCCGTCTGTGTCGCACAACGGGCGGGCAAGGTGTTCGGGTGTCCCAACGAGGGGATGTACCGTACGGAGCATCCTGTCGACGGGTGTCCTGCTGGACGTGTCCTGCTGTTTCGCATAGTCCAGCCACACCCAGACAGGATGCTCCTGGTACGTACTGCCTTGTGTTTTTTCTCCCTCTTGTGGCCAAGGTACATCAAGTTCATCTCTTTTGGAGAACGAGTGGCTCGGCCTCTCAGCCTCTCAGCCTCGTCTTCCGCTTCCATCGGTCATCGTTTTTGATTTGGGCATCGGTTCTCGCTGGTTGGAAGGGTGAAGCCACCACCACATGACCTGGAGGTTGGGTTGGTTCTGTTTCTTCTTGTCAACACAACCCCTTTTCGTGTCGCTCGTCCGCTCGCGCGTCCGCTGCGCACGCTCGTCCTCCTGGACTGTCACCACGAGCGCTCGTCCTCCCCGGAGCCGCCTGCCGCCGTCGACTGTCGCATCACCGGTGTGGATGGGACTGCCGATCACTTGGGGTGACTTCAGGGCAGGGTCAATGAGTTGGGCTGGGGTGCTTTCGGGGGAGTTTTCACACCCCATGGGTTGGGGGGAAAACGCCCAGTTCCGGTATCCCAAGAATGAATCGTGAGCATCCCCCCTATTCTAATTCATCCTTGGAGGGTGTTGTCAAAAAGCATCAGCCCCCAAGCGTTTCAGCCAGTTCTCTGGAGGGGATGACCGCATGCTTTAAACCATGCATGGTATACCAAAGCCTTTTCTGAAACAAAGACCATTTGAAGATCGTGAAGATCAACATTCGTCAAGGCGATGTAAAGGATAACGTACGGTTAGCTCCACACTGCCGCTGTGCGGAATTTCAGCTTGGTAAGATGGACCCCGAAAACGAACCAGAACAGCTTGGTGGATCCCTCAACCCCTCAACCTCAATGGTCTTTCAATGGTCTTTCACCTGTGGCCCACCTTGGCAAAATGTGGCACTTGTTCCTGTTGACTGTTTCGTCACTCGAGTGACTCGAGATCGGAGAGCGGCTCAGCGGAGCAGAGTGCCTGACGTTCGCTTCGGCGTTCGCGACGTCTTCGCTTCTCCAACCGTGAGCAAGTCTTTGTACAAGTGGCGTCATCGACACCTCAGCCTCGGAGAACGCATCACTTCCCTTGCTACGCTCTGCGGAAGCCGCAGAAGTTGTCAAGGAAAGCCGCGGAATCTCGTCCAGCTGTTCCTTCGACGAGGAGGCCTCTTCCGAGCTCTTCCGTGGAGGAACAGCTCGCGAATTGGCCTCAAGCTCCTCGAGGCTTTGCGCTTCCAAGATCTCTATGACCTCCTGAGGCGCTGCAGCACTGCCGCAGCTGCCGCGGGCTCAGTGACCGTGGAAAAGTGTGGAAGAGGCAACTCTGAAGCTTTACCAAGGTGTAAGGGCAGAAGAAAAGGGGAGCAAGGAGCAAGAATCCGATGGTTTCAGATTATGCCAGACCCTTATTTTTGTGATGCTGATGTTTTTGGGTGGGTTTTCGCTGCGTGAGTGAGACCAGTGGACTGGCACTCTTCAGCCCCTAGTTGTCGAAGCAGGCCCACCACAGGCAACAGGTCTATCCCCCAAAAAGGATGAACGACTGGATGGACCTGTTTTGGGGAAGTTCTGTGCCGGTCCCAGGCTTCATTCCCTGTTGAGAGCGACCATTCCGGCGGACTTGGGCCGAGTCTTGGGGTCCTGCTCTCTTGGATGATGTTCTATCCCATACACTCCATGTAACTCCATGTACGCCATATAAAATATATGCCTACATTGGGGTGGTAGACGCACCTAAAGACCTGAGACCAAATGTTTCGTCGCGAGCTGTTGTCGCGAGCTGTTTCGTCGTGCGCTCCCATGTCGCTCCCAACAGGTGTCGGCATCCAAGGATGAAACAAAGCCTGGTTGTACCTGGTCCCAACCAGAAACAAAAGGATGTCTCCCCAGTCCTGGCCACTTCCTATGCAAAGGATCTGAAAACCAGATTGGGGAACGAGAACTGTTTCTGGTTGGGACTGGGTACAACCAGGTAGCCTAGAGAATCCATAGTCAGGCACACGAGGGTTGCATATATGCCTCTCGACAGTATTGAAGGATGAACATGTGAAGGATGTGTAAAGATACATGCTTGTCATCACCATCAACGAGTAAGGGCTCGTGTAAGTGTGCATCCTCCATCAATGCAGCCATACAAAGGATCATAAAAATGGCCCAATGTGAGTCTGGCATAATATGGGTGTGCACAAAAACAGGAAGACCTCCGGAAGAAAGGGGAATGGACCAGTCTACCCTTTGGGACATACCCACTGTAGCTCTGGAATCACCTTTAAGCAAGGCACTTTGAGTTGTAGCTTCTAGATACTAATTAGTATAGTAATGCCCTTGGTTACCCTGCTTCAGGACACCCCACCCATCCACCGCTGAAAAGGCGGGCCAGGTCGCCGTATAGCGAAGGCCCTTGAAACGCAACGCCTGACCGTCCCGGCGGCGCGCCGAAACGCGAAGATGTGGGATGAAGTCGAAGAGTCGAGTCAAGGGATTTCCTTTGGCCAACCACAACTTGGCAGGCAAGCCTCGCCTTCGGTCTACCAAGTATATAGTACCTAGCTGCAACCAGCTCAAGTGCTCGAAAAAGGGTTTCTTTTAAGGGGCCACCGGTTTGGAGTCGTCGACCTGATGTCTTTCGTCGACCTGCGTTTGGCGCCTGCTGACGGTCCACGGCCACGCTGGTGCAGACTTTGGACTCCTCCCGGTGGAGCAGAGCGGAAGACGCTTGGGTCGTTTCGGAAGAAAAACACCGGCGCAGTGGCGCATGGAGGGGTTCCCTCTCATTGGCGCTGGCCTGTGGACTTTCCTAACTAGCTTACTTAGACTTAAACCCCTGATATTCCTGGGCCGAAACCATCGTCTTTATCATGGTCTTTGCCGAAACCATCGTTGTTTTATAAGGATTCCAGATTACAAAATCAGGTCTCTAAAGACGAACGGGTCAAACGCACCTCGTCTGTGTCTCAACTTTCCTCGCTTCTTCCGTCAACTCAGGTTGACTCGTCGCGTGGCTTTTTGAGATCCCATCCTCCAGAAAATAAATATAGAAATCATAGAAATCAGACATCAGACTCGCATAGAAATTCACGATGGCTCTTCACGAAAAAAACCACACCCTCACCTTCCTCCACCCTCCTCACCTGCGCGGCGACGAGGACCACTCGCAAGGGCGTCATGCCCCGCGCATCCCGTCGGCTGGGATTCGCCTGGCGAGACGGTCATGAGGACGGACGTTTCCACGGTCCAAGCGATGCGAGGCGAAACTTGGTGGTCAGACGGAACTTCGTTTGGATGAAACTGGCGGTATCTTTTTGGATTCAGAGGTAGCCACTCTCAGAGTAGCTGATTGGACCTGCAGTTCAAGCCTGCTACAGAGCTTGAGCGTGCTGAGGTTGTGTGGAGTTCTATCCGGGAGTGCCTATAGAAAAACAAGTTGAGAGACTCGGCACTTCACAGAAACGAAAGCTGATGAGGTTCGTGAGAAACTTCTTCGAGGATCTGTACAACCTGTGTGAGGATCAGTGACTCATCAGAGGGGTCATCCAAGATGGTCATCCAAGAACCTGAAACAGACTGCATGCTGACGCCGCATACAGCCGGTCGCCTGCTTCTGCAGCAGATACCTCACCAGTTCAGGATAGCCCCAAGTGGCTGCCACATAAAGCGGCGTGATGCCCTTCATCTCACCTTCAAACTCCTGAGCTGTGAGGACAACCCAGGAAAACTTCAGCAAGCGTTCTGCGCGAGAAAGGGTCTCACGCAGAAGGGTTGCGTGCCGCCAAGGGACCCTGAGCTCCGGAAATAGCGGGTTCTACAATTGAAGGCCTCCTCTGAGAAGGGAACATGGTTAGAAGAGATTCTCCCATTGCGATAGCTGCTTCACTTTCAGTGGGGGGTGCACTTCTTGGCAGCATTCTGTCATCCTCATCAAAAATCTGCCTGCCTTTCAGGTCGATGAAGCCACAAAAAAAAACAACCTAAAGCCCAGACATGACCTCGCTTTGAGGGATATCTGGATCCAATATAGAGGTCACTCAGGCTCTGTAGGTTAAACCCGAACCGCAATGCACCAGCGGTGAAGACCAGGACTGACGGCGCGGAGACGTGCCCGGTCAAGATCCACCAGTCTTTCAGGGCGGCACTTGAAAGTCTACAAAGTCATCACGCGGGTGTTGGGAGACCAGAAATCCTAAAACCTCATGTTCTTTTTCTAGACTCCCCATGGCAGTCATGGGCAGCTTTCCAAGCCTTATCTCGTCATTCAAAAAATTAAAAAACAACCATCATCTGGCCACCTCGTCCCTTCCGAAAAACAGAACCTCGCCTACCAGCCCCGGGAACCGAAGGAACCTCGAAACGACGCAGCGACGCGTGAGCGAGGCGAAAGCGCTTCGCTGCGCTTCGCTGCGCGCGAGCTGCGGGCTCACCCAATCGAGCGGCGAAGTCCACGCTGGGATCCGTCGACGAGGACAAGATCCTCAGAGTCGCAGCCAGCGGCCGGAAGAATCGGCAGCGGGGGCGAAAAGTATCGGCAGTCTGAGACGTGCTGAGAACAAGGTTCGAATGTAGTTCACTGTATTGGGTTCATTTTTCAAGCGATCAGATATGTTGCAGCAAGCTTGGTGGTCCATTCTCCCAAACAATCCACATAGGTCCGGAAAGGAACTCCAAGATCCCTCACCAACACATCCAAAATGGTGTTGCCGAAAGCAAACTCAACGCTGGAATGCATGTCATGTCTCCTCTTCTCAATGCAAAAACACAACAAGCTCACCTGGAATCCAAGCAACAACAACTACGTAACTACGCTTAACCTGGATGTACTTTCTCCCATCATCGTTCGTACCAAGCAGTGTACACCACTTGAAGTGTACACCAGGTGTTTCTGGATTCCATCGGTCGAAGTCATCGGAGAAAGCCCGAAAAACACACAGTGCACGGTGCCTTTTTGCACGGGGCGCCTTCTTTTTCTTTCTGCGGCCATTTGAGTGATGAACATGTTCTTTGCAAAGAAACAGGGGAGCAACTGAAGTTCGGTCACGAGTTCCCAAAGCATCAAGAAGACCCGATTCGAAGGTGAAGGAACCAGGTCTTCACCACGCTATGTCAAGACCTTGCCATTGTCTCTGAAGATTGTATATATAATTACAATAAGTTATATATATATAAGTAAACTATATGAATCCTTTCTTTCCAGGCGGCTTGGTGGCAATCCCCACGGAGCCCGACCTGAACAAATTCAGCCACTGACTCCCAGTAATCAAGTGAGTTGTGTTTTTTTTGTGGTGTGGGGCTTATACACTGGGTCTGTACCTACGCGGGTGCCTACGCCTGGGCTCCCCTCTCAAGCAAATGCCTACGCGAGAGGTTCTCTTTGTTAGGTGCCTACGCGGGATGCCTACGCAGGGTACTGTCACCAACTTTAGTCACATCAGGTGACTCGAAAAGAGCTATAATACAATCCGCAAGTAGTGGCCCGATGCGACCGGGTCACATCAGGTTCCTGTTTACAAGGCGTTTACAGCTTTGCTACCGATGGCCAGATAGATTTTGTATCAAGCCGATCCAATTACAGTGTGGAAGCAGCAGCACATAAACAGCGCACAACAAGCAGCAAACAAGCAGCAGAAAACAAGAGGCAGCAGCAGCAGCAGCAGCCAAGCAGCAGCAAAAGCAGCAGCCAAGCAGTAGCAGCAGCCAATAGCTTCTTGCCTAAGCGCTGCTTCCGCGAGCGCCTACGCGGGGCCCACGCGAAAATAGGTCCATTGATTATGGTACCAACAGGGTGCGCACAGATGTAGCTCAAGAGCCGGTGTGCCAGACCAAGCACGATCAAGCTTTTGACCTCAAAAACCAATGTGCCCCCACAGCTTCGACAAACAAACTTCAAACATCCACTGTAGCCATGTCGTTACAATTCATTTTCATTTTCCTTCCCCACTGGAATTTGCAAGCAAGTGTCAAGTTAAACAACTACAAGCCAACATGATCTTTCCCCAAGACCCTTGAACAACTTTTAAAGAAGTCTGAATAAGAAAATTCAGGCTTTCATGAAAAGGGTGCCTACGCAAGACTGCCTACGCAAATCTTTCAACACCCACCTACGCAAAATGCTTACACGACGCCTACGCCCCAAGCAGAACAGCCTCCGCGACTTCTCAACAGTTCCCTTTTTGTATAAACCTAATCATTTGCAAAAAAACGTGGCTCAAGTGTAGATGTCAATATAGCTATTGTATGCTATTGTATTAGCAGAAACGGCACAGCCTTTTCCATGTCTTGTGAAGCTTGAACGTTTGAGCATGGGCAATCACCTGTAGCCCTTTGTTTGCACAAGGAAAATAGAAGCAGTTTGTGCGGCGTAGGTTATGAGCCCGAAGGTACGCTGAGTGCTGTTGGGTTTTAGGTGTGACGCAATGAGTGAAGAAGCGGCTTCTGAAAGGACGCCGGAGTCGAATGGCCTGAAGGCCATAGAAGATGAGGCCTAGTGGCCCGCCAGTGGTTCTGGGCCCCAACACGTACAACCCTTTCTGGTCCGAGCGAATGCAGGATGAAGCCCGAAGGGACAGAGCTGCTGCCTGATCCAGGTTCCTCGCCACCGAAAGAAGGAGCCGAAGCTTTTCGAATGTTTCTTCATGGCCTCATGTCTGAGAACGCGCGGCTTTGGTCAGAGCGGGAGTCATGGTCGGCGGGGCAGGCAAACCATGGTTGGGGCAACCCACCTTTCAATCATCCACCACCTTGGATGTATGGCATGATGTCGGAGGGTCAGCACAGAGAAAAGAATGTCATGGAGTCAATGCTAGAGTCATTGAGGTCCTCATGGGTGTCTCCAGGGCGTGACGGTGGTAAGGGTCTTCTTGGGCCGCTGTCGAATGGTCGAGACTGTGGAGGGCATGGTGCGGGTCATGTTTCTGCCGGTGATCAGGGACTTTCATGGGCAGTTTGGGGGGCCGAGAGCCATCTTCAATCGTGTCTCCTCCACATCTGGTGATATGATGCATGGTATGTTGGAGGCTTCGAGAACGTTAGCAAGGCATGGGATTGCTTCCTCGTGGTCTGAACCTCCAGCAGCCGATGGTCGAAGCTCGAAGGGCTATGTGTCTGGCGAGCTCCACTCTGGTCCGGGACAAGGTCTTTCTGGTAGCAGTGAACCCCAAGATCCAGTGGGCGGTCAGGGTCAGAAATCCAAAGAATCCTCGGTGAGTGGTCCAGCGGGGCAACAACCGGCCAGGGGTTGCAAGTGGTGGTCATCATGGAGGTGGTCATTGAGGCAGTTGTGGCTCTATCTCCTGGCCAGCCAAGCTAGGAAGCGCTTGGTTCTGTTTCTCAAAGAGCATCCTCGAGACCCGGAGAAGTACAAGGCCAAGGATGACACCAATGAGTACCCGTCTTTCTATGCATGGCCGGAGTGGCAGGAGTTCCGATCTCGTTTCCACTTGACGGAGGTGCGTCTGGATTTGAGAGCTTTGGGTCACTCTCGTCGGAAGCCGACTACACTGGGGACCAAC